TCCCTTCACTAATGGCTGCTGTAACAATGTTAGCCGTGTCCTCTGCAGCTCTCCAGCACCCAGGTACAACCACACACTTTGGTTGGTGTTCATGCTTGGTCAAACTCTTGTCTTCTTTAGTCTGCTTCTGAATAAGGGAAGCCTTGTAGAAAGGATTTGCTCATAGAATGGTGGGTGCTACCAGGGAGAGATGTGATCTCTTGGTGAACTCTTGAATTCAGGTGTTTAGGTATAGCTAATTGCCTTAGAGAATTGAGGGTGCATAAAATTTAACTCCAGAGTGCTAGATACCTGCTTATAAAGGCCTACTCTTGCTGAAGATGTTCACTGAGTTAAATCAGTTTAGCACTGACTTTTACACTAGACTGATAGGAATGTTTTTTGATGCTGAAGATTAAATTTAGGGTCTTGTTCTTTATCACTGAACTATATACCCCAGTCCATATGCAGAATGCTTCCTTGATACTTGGTATGCAAGTAGAAATAGTAAGTGAAAGCCTTCTCACTTTTGCTACACAGGTATTTGGGGAGACCAAAGAAAGAGAAGACAATTGTAATCAGACCTCCTTTCCTTCGACCAGAAGTGTCAGATGGGCAGATAACTGTGAAGATCATGGATAATGGTATCCAGGGAGAACTGAGGAGGACTAAGGTGAGGAACAGGGAAGTAAAACTTTAGGTAAACTCAGGAAATTTCACCCATGGCAAATATAGAAACTTACATTGAGTATACATACATCTTTGTGTTAAAGACACTTGAATACAGATCTTTTTTTCCGCTAGATTTCAAGTTCAGTGACAGCAGACACTGGGTCCATTTCTTTCCATGTCTTCGTAAGATATAACAACTATTAGATGATTAGATGCTCAATTTTTCTTTGTCCATTTGATCCCCAAACTAACTCTTCTCAGTTTAAAAACATAACTGGTTCTCTAATACTTTTCTTCTGTCAACTTAATGTTACCTTAATGCATTTTCCCAGTCTGATTTCCCTCCATTTATTTATTAGTCTAAGGGAAGCCTAGAGATAACAGAGAGCCAGTCGGCAGATGCAGAACCTCCTCCTCCTCCTAAGCCGGACCTGAGTCGATATACAGGGCTTCGGACACACCTCGGTCTGGCTACTAATGAGGGTAAGGGCTGCCTTGATATGTGAGATCCTAGAGTAGAAGTCAGGGACAAGATACCATGTAAGCTGTAGAGAAGATGAGCAAGGGCTGGGAAATACTTGAATTATGGGCTTATAACACCCCGTAAATGGAGTTTTCTTTTGAATATCTAAAAGGAGGGCTGCCAGTTAGCAATAGACAGTGATTTGAACTTTCCAGAATTACTTTTTACAATTTTATGTAATATATGTGCATGGTGTGTGTGTGTGTGTGTGTGTGTGTGTGTGTGTGTGTGTGTGTGTGTACACGTACGTACGTACGTTAGGTAGATCAAAAAATAACCTCCAGAGGTTGGTTCTTTCTTTCCACTATGGATTCTGGGGATTGAACTCCAGTCTTTTGTGGCATGTGCTTTACTTGCTATATGTCTGCCTGAATCAGGGAATTTCTTAGTATATTTGGTCCATTTGCCTACCACAAATTCTGAAATGAGTATAGATCCTTGGTCTTTAAAAAAGATACCTACCCCCATGGGTGGTGGTACATGCCTTTAATCCCAGCACTCAGGAAGCAGAAGCAGGTGGGATCCCTGAGATCAAGGCCAGCCTGTTCTACAAAGTGAGTTCCAGGACAGCCAAGACTACACAGAGAAATCCTGTCTCAAAAAACAAAACAAAAAAAGAAACAAGGACTATATAGCCAAGACTGTTGAGCTCAGAAAAGTTTGCCTGGCTGCTGAGTACTGGGATTAAAGATGTGTACTTCCACTCCTGGCCTTATGACTTAGTTATTATTGCATGTGTGAGAGTGTTTGGCCTAAATGTGTATGTCTGCTCACCACTTGTGTTCCTGTTTCAACCTTCTGGGTAGCTGACTATAGGCCTGTATCTAAAGACCAGGCCCAGCACTCAGGAGGCAGAGATAGGATGATATCTGTGAGTTTGAGGCCAGTCTGGTCTACTGAGTTCCAGGACAGGCTCCAAAGCTACAGAGAAACCCTGTTTTGAAAAACCGAAAGAAAAAAAAAAAAAAATTAATTTGTAAAGTAGTGCTCTCTGGGTTTCCCCCGTAGATAGCAGTCTCTTGGGCAAGGACAGCCCCCCTACACCTACCATGTATAAATATCGACCAGGTTACAGCAGCAGCAGTACATCAGCCGCCATGCCTCATTCCTCCAGTGCCAAGGTACTCTGTATTCTAAGAACTGGGGTCATAACCTGTGCCAGATCTTGAGGAAAGGAGGGGAAACATAAAAACCAAGGACATTTTACTGATTATTGGCTTTAATGGAATTGAATTTCCTTGATGTGTTTTTCATCAAAAAAGGAGCAATGACGAATTCCAGATAAAAACACTAATGTCAAATCTGATTTTAAAAACACTTCTGCCAAGTTAGTCTCTGTAAGCCTCATTTCCAGCATCTTAAAATGAGGTATTTGTTCCAAGTCACAGCTTTGTGTTAAAGGCCAACCATATGCTGTCCCAAGTTTGAAGTTTACTATTGGCATGTAATTCACTGTCTCTTCGGGCTGTGGTATCTGGCAACTGTCAAAAGGAATGCTAAGACTGTCTTACTCTTTCCACAGCTGAGTCGTGGAGATAGCTTGAAGGAACCAACCTCAATTGCAGATAGTAGCCGCCATCCCAGCTACCGCTCAGAGCCCAGCTTGGAGCCAGAGAGCTTCCGGTCTCCCACTTTTGGAAAAACCTTTCACTTTGATCCTTTGTCCAGTGGCTCACGATCCTCCAGCCTCAAGTCAGCCCAGGGCACGGGCTTTGAGTTGGGCCAGTTGCAGTCCATTCGTTCAGAGGGTACCACCTCCACCTCCTATAAAAGCCTGGCCAATCAGACACGCAATGGAAGTCTGTCTTATGACAGCCTACTCACTCCTTCAGACAGCCCTGATTTTGAGTCAGTACAGGCAGGGCCTGAGCCAGACCCACCTTTAGGCTACACCTCTCCCTTCCTATCAGCCCGGCTGGCTCAGCAACGGGAAGCTGAGAGGCACCCACGTTTGGTGCCAACCGGCCCACCACACCGAGAGCCCTCGCCAGTCCGTTATGACAATCTGTCTCGCCACATTGTGGCTTCCCTCCAGGAACGAGAGAAGCTGCTACGACAGTCACCTCCACTTGCAGGCCGTGAGGAAGAATCAGGCTTGGGAGACTCAGGCATTCAGTCAACACCAGGCTCAGGCCATGCCCCTCGTACTAGTTCCTCTTCAGATGATTCAAAGAGATCACCCTTAAGCAAGACTCCACTGGGACGCTCAGCTGTCCCCCGTTTTGGCAAACCAGATGGGCTAAGGAGCCGGGGACTGGGGTCCCCTGAAACAGCCTCAACTGCCCCCTACCTGGGCCGATCAATGTCTTATAGCAGCCAAAAAGCCCCATCTGGTGTCTCTGAGACAGAGGAAGTGGCATTGCAGCCATTACTGACACCCAAGTAAGTATTTGTCTTTTCCTCTTTACTTCAGTGTAATTAACAGAAGGCATCACGTCTTTGGCTGTACATGATTCTAGTATAGGTAGACCCTGGGGATCTTGAGAACTCTTTGATATTTGATTGCCTTTATGGATACCTCCTCTTAAGAGATAAGTCCCTGAAAGTTTTATTTGCCAAAGACTAAGTATATGAGAGCTGAGGTTAGGAATAAATTGGGGAGAAAGAATCAGTCTTATTTTAAGCATGCCAATAAAATAACAGGGACTGGATTGTTTAGATAAGAAAATATGTGGAAAAGCACCCTCCCCCACTTCCCATTAGACCCTTTTTGTGTATGCTTGTGTTTTGTCCATTGTGTTTCTTTTCCTGATGTCTGTTTCTTCTTTTTCCCTCAGAGATGAAGTACAGCTCAAGACCACCTACAGCAAATCCAATGGGCAGCCCAAGAGTATAGGTTCAGCTTCCCCTGGCCCAGGACAGCCACCTCTCAGTAGTCCCACAAGGGGAGGAGTCAAGAAGGTGTCAGGGGTGGGCGGTACCACTTATGAGATTTCTGTGTGAATCTTGGCGCCTCCCCTGTCCTACACCTCTGCACCTACACCAAAGGGCCTCAGGTGGCCACTTTCTTTCCCTCAAGGGTCTCCCTTACTTTGCATGGACATTTTTAAACCACCGATTCCAAGAGGATGAGGCTTGTTTTATAAAATGCCATGGCGTTGAGGAGAGTTGGGGCCCTGAGACAGGGGTGGCAACCCCCCCCTTTGATCTTTTAAGACCTTCCCTTCTTTGATCCCTGGACCAGACTCAGTGGACACTTGTGCAATTGCTTGCCCTGGAGGGAACCAGATCATTTTTAAACCAGAAATAATTTTTTTTATTATTGTTACGGATTCTATTTTTTTCCTCTTCTCCGTTACCAGGTGTGTGTGTACATATATATATATACATATATATATATTATAAATATCAAAGAAATTATATATCTATCCTGGGATGGGAAAACAAGGGAGGGATATATAGATATATATATATAAGGAGGGGGAATTTATTCTTCCCTTTCCTTAGACCAGCAGGAAAAGAGACTAAAAAGTCTTTCTTTTCCCCATGGTTCCCTCTTTTGTCCCAGTTGTCAACTAAGGAAATAGCACCCTCTGCTGGTGCTAAGTGATTAGGAAAGAAACCTGGGTAAGCCTGGGGTTCTTGGTCAGATAAAGGAACCTGCAGAGTTTTCTAGGCTCATTGACATCATTTCCCGAGGAAAGGGGTCACAGTTCCATGATGGTGGTGGGAGATCAGGAAAAGAGCTTGGCCTACTTTACATAACATCAGGCAACCTTCCTCCCCCCATTCTTGGGAGATAGGGATTGTGGTGGGCTTAGTGGGCCTCTTCAATGCTTCCCTATTACTTACTGTTAAAATGATCTTAAAAATCCAAGGCCAGAAGAGAAGAATCCAAAAAGCAATATTTTTCATCATATGCCAAAAATGGGATAGAGAGAAGGAGTGGCAGGCCTGGGCCCCTCCAATTGTCCCCTGGGGTTTACCCCTTAGCCCACCTCAATATGGTGCTGGGTAGAAGGGGTAGCTGGATTCTTACCTTTAAACAGGGAAGATCCCAGCCTCTATACAGAGACCCTTTAATTTTTTATTCTGATTAGCCATTTTAAACCAACAAGGAATAAAATAAATCCTGATCTAACCAGCTCCACCTGACTCATGTTTTATCTGGTTAAGGCAAGGTGAATGGGCTTGTGGGAAGTCAAAAGGAAAGCCTCATTCTCTAGTCTGCTTTTATTCTGGCTATCAAATTAAATGCTCTGCTGGGTAAGAGAAACCTAACTTTTCATAACAAAAACTTCTGTCTTTTGATAACTAGAGAACTGGTGTCACTCCTTAATTTCCTCTTTAGAAAGTAAGGTAGGGGCTGGAAAGATGGCTCGGCAGTTAAAAGTACTGACTGCTTTTCTAGAGGACCCAGGTCCAATTCCTGGTATCCACATAGCAGTTCTCATCTATCTGCAACTCCAAGATATGACACCCTCACACAGATATACATGTAGGCCAAACACCAATACATCTAAAAGTAAATAAAAATTTTTTTTAAAAGTAAAGTAAAAAGCCAAGCATGGTGGTATATGCCTTTGATCCCAGAACTTGGGAGGTGGGTCTCTTAAGCTTGTGTTCCTCATAGCAGGTTACATGGCGAGATGCTGTTCCAAAACAACAAACCAAAAACTTGTTTTTCCCAAACAACCAAATCCATTTTTTAAACTAAAGAATAAGAGAAGTGCTAAACTTCTTGTCAGAGATTCATTTAAAAAGCACATAGGAAAAAGGGGAAGGGAAAAGATAAGCTTGCTTAGCATCTACAAGGTTTGGGACAGTCCCTAGGAGAAAGAGTGGGAGTATGAGATACCAGTTTTTTTTTTTTTTTTTTTTTTTTGGGGGGGGGGTTCCCCCTGCTACAACATGCTGGTAATGGTGGGTAGTTCATTTATTTATTTATTTACTTATATGTTCCCTGTTGTATATCAACACAGGCATAAACCTCATTTTGGCTAGCTTTCCTGACAGGATGAAGATCATTCAGGCACTAGGCTGTGAACATGGGCAAAATATTAGCTAACTGTTGTTTTTTGACCAGTTCTCAGCTCTAATTTTGATTTCCCAGTCTAAGGAAATAATGTGATGGCAAGATCTAAAATCTCTTATATTCTCAACAGTGCCTTGTCTTAAACTACCTCAGACAGAATGATAATTGCCTCTTAAAAAAGGTAGCCATACTAGCCAGTTTGTTAAGATACCTTCTTCTTTTTCTTTAAAGAAAACCCTAACAAATGAAGTTCTGAAATCAAATTACACTAAAGAGGGGTACAAAAAACAACAACAAAAAAAAACAGATTCTTGTGAAAAGGGATGCCTATGAAAAAGCCAACTGAACTAAACCATAAAAAAGTATGGCCCTTCTCTAAAAGTGTATTAGTCACAAGCACAGCAGGGGCTGGCCTCTGTCTAGCTGTTGGATACCCCAAGGCAATGCCTGAGTGCCTGGAAGACAGTTCTTGTCAGCAGGTTCACTGCAATAGGGAAGTCATCCTTGGCAGAGTTCCGTAGTCCTGTTAGCGGAGGCTGCTGCTGCTGCTGGCCTGGGAGCTTCCCATACCTGGGTGGTCTGGACTATGTCGGTTCTGGGAGAGATAAAAGGGTTAAGAACATTTAGACACTAAAAGATGACCTTGCTGGACATGGTACATGCCTTTAATTCCAGCTCTCTGGAGAGAGGCAGAAGCAAGCCTGGTCTATAGTGAGTTCCAGGCCAGCCAAAGCTACATCTAAAGACCTTGTCTCAAAATAACAAAAAAGCCTAAATAAATAATAACAGGATGAGCCTGCTAACATAGACTTGTAATCTCAGTTGCTTTGGAGGCAGAGTTAGGAAGATGGCAAATTCAAAGTCTGCCTGGGCAACTCAGTGAAACTGTCTCAAAAATTATCAGTAAACAAGCAAAATGAAAACGTTTATTAAAGAGGAGACTGGGTATGGCTCAATGGTAAGGCACTACCTCAAAAAGAGTCAAAGAACTACTAGCCTTGGCCAAGGCTATAAACAAAAAATGTTTGCCCTGGGTTTTCAATCCTCGGTCCAACTTGAGGCAAAGGATTCTAGTAAAGAAAGGTGAGATGGGGGCTGGATAGATGGCTCTGGTTATGAGCATGAACTGTCTTGTAGAAAACCCCAGTTCAGTTCCCAGCACCACCATAGAGTAGTAGTGACTGAGCTACAGGGCCAAAGCCCTCTTGGTCTCTGTGGGCATTGCACTAGTGTAGGGAAACACATATACATAAAACAACCAGTTACTACAACAACTCTCTACCTTCTTCTTTTTCTTCTCTTTCTTCTTCCTTTTTCGTTCAGGATCTTCTTCCTTTTTCTTTTTCTTCTTTTTGTGATCTGAATCAGATGGTGTTTCTGTAGGAGACATTAAGAGCCTATAACCTTACGTTTGATGTTGAGTTAATATCTACTGCTATGAACTCTTAAGGCTACAAGAAAACCTAATACCAGGGGAGCTGCTTTTTTTCTACGAGTCCAGAAAGAATATAGAGGTGCTGGCAGAGCAGCTGTACAAAGTCACTGCTTGTCCAAGAAATGTCAATACATGAATTCCTTCTTGGGGAAATCTGGGAGTCCAGAGAAACTGAGCTTAACTGAAGGCCATGCAGACTTGGGCCAGGGTCTTGGTGGTCTGAACAGAAGTGCTTACCTGGAGGAACAGGATCCTGGGTACGGCTTTGTTTATGCTTGTGCTTATTCTTCTTCTTGGGAGGCTGAATATGCATCAGACGACACTGCTCTGGCAACTGAGGGTACCAAAGGAAGGTTCAGGCGGAGAGAGCAACTGCCCTCTCCCAGACTTGGAGACAAAGCTACCTCCATACCTTTGAGGCCTCCCCATTTGTTTTCTTCCTCCCCAAGAAGGGACTTACCGGGCCAGTATGCAGGCGGAAACCAGACAGCATGGTCCCTGTGATTGGATTAAAAGAGCTACTGAGAATAGGAGGCTTCTCAATGAGGGATCGGAGGCTGCTGTTGTCATGGGAGCCAGGGAGATCAATCATCCCTGGTAGGTCAGGCAGGAAGTTACTTAGCTTCTCCTTCACTTTCTTCCCACAGAATTTATTATAGGCCTGTTCCAGGTTGTAGTGTGTGATTAAATTGGTGCTGCCTGTCAGCTCTGTGCTGCCTAGAAAACAGCAATAATGAAGTTATATAAAAGTAGATGATAATATTTTGTCACTAACTCAATAGGAATTGAAGGAAAAAAGAACTTTCGGTTTTCTTTATCTGTATGCTTATTTGCCTACATGTATACATGTGTACCATGTGTATGTCTGGTGCCTGCAGACACCAAAAGAGAGGACTGAATCCCCTAGAACTGGAGTTACAGATGGTTGTGAGTTGCCCTAGGAACTGAACCTGGGTCAAGGGTAGCCCATACTACTAACTGTTGAGTTATCTCCTAACTCTCCAGCCCCATGAAGGACTTAGTTAACTACTAATGAGAAATCTATTTAAAAAACAAAACCAAAAACTACTGTCTTAGTCACTGTTCTAGTGTTGTGAAGAGGCATTACCACAGCAACTCTTACAATTGTAAGAAAGCACTTAATTGGGGAGTTGCTTAACAGTTTCAGAGGTAGCATGGTGCTGGAGGGGTTGAGCGCTACCTACTGATCCACAGGCAGAAAGTGGGAGCCTAAACTGGGCATGGAACCTCAAAGCCCATCCCCAGTGATGCACTTCCTAATCCTAATCTATTCAAGGAGTTCCACTCTCTCATGACAATAAACATTCAAATAAATGAGCCTATGGATACTATTCTTATTCAAGTCACAATTACAGGATTCCAGCACTCAAAATGTTTCAGATTTAGAAGCATTCCAGACTTCACATTTCTGTATTTGGGATTTGTAATTAGTAAAATCTATGCAAATATTTTGAAAAACTACAAAATTTGAAACATTTTAGATAAGCATTTTAGATAGCAGATACTAAATCTGTAATGATATAACAGCCAGGTGTGGTGGTGCATACCTGTAAGCCTGTAATGCCAGCACTCTGAAGGCTAAGGCAAGACAGCTGCATTCAAGACCAGCTTGGGCTATATAGTGAGATCCTGTCTCAAATACCCGAACTCAGTAACACATAACAAACACAAAATGCTACACTATAGGCTAAAGGGAATGGAAACAGAATAATGCAAGTAGGGCAGATAGAAACCGAAAACAAAAATAAAACCAGACTAGAATAACTTACATGACACTGAATCATGTACCAATCCATTTTTTTTTTTTTATATAAAATGTCCCACAAACATCTCACCTGGATCAGGATAACAGGACCTTGAAGTTTAGTTCCAGATAACTAAAAATCAAATCTGATGAAGTGGAATGAAGGTCTTGTCAGGGGCCCTCTGTTGGCTGTGCATTTATTTACATATTTATTGAGATAGTATGTTGCTATATGAGACAGTATGTAGTTCTAGCTCACCTCAAACTTGTGGTAACTTCCTGCCTTAGCCTCCTGAGTGCTGGTGTTATAGGTGAGTGCCACCATGCTTCGCATTATTATTATTATTATTTTTAATAGGAAGACAAGTCACCATAGGAAAACAGGAGATTCTGTGGTTATGACTATCTTGTAACCAACATACCAATATGTTTATTCTTTATGATACCAGGTATTACCTTATGAGCAACCAGAATTCTAATACTAGCTGGCTTCTCTGCTGTTGTTTCTTTATCTAGGTAATAGGATAATAGCTTGGCATTTCATTTTTTTAAAATTTATTTTATGTGCACTGGCATCTCCCAAAACTGGAGTTACAGACAGTTGCAAGCTGCCATGTGGGTTCTGGGAATTGAACCTGGTCCTCTGGAAGAGCAGCCAGTGCTCTTAACCACTGCACTCTCTCTCCAGCCTTGCATTTAATTATTTTTAAGGCTCACTGATTTAAAACAACAACAGCAGCATCAACAAAACAAAAGTACAAGGCTCTACCAATATATTCAGTGGCTGACCTTTTTTTTTTTTTTTTTTTGGAAAAGAATAAAAATATGCTAAAATAAGAACCACATAGAATAGAAATATTTAACTTACAACCTAACTGATAATTATGAAAACATACAGATAAAGTGGCTTGTTTATAATCATTTACTTGGGAAAGTTCAGGTTCTGAACTGTGAGCCCTTGAGGGCACAGATGGTGTCTTATTCACATGACTAGTTAGTGCCCAGGTTATACACTAAATGTTTCTGAAATAAACAAGCATTTTTCTTCTGGTCTAGGTCTTACTCTACCTGTTTCCTTCTTTTCTTTGCCAATGACTCAGAAGAGTGAGTTCAACAGTTTGGATACTTAGCTTTACAATGCCTTGTAACCGTAACTGGCACTGCCTTCTACTTGCCAGGGCTTCTCCTTCCAGATGGTTATGTATAAAGCTCAGTTGAGAGGTACTTGGTGCTTTTCATAATTTGTAAAAAAGGAGTTCCAGCTGATCAAAGTGGTATACAGCAGTAATCCCAACACTGAGGAAGTGAGGCAGGAAGATCACAAGCTCATGCTCATCCTTGGCTACATGAATTTGAGGCCAGCCTAGGTGACATGAGACTGCAATAAAGGAGGGGGAATTAAGGAAGTAAATATCAGGGGGCTGTTTAGATTAGATAGCTCAGCAGATGACCCAGATTCCACTCCCAGGACCCACAAGGCAGCTTACAGGCATTTGTATGTAACTCCTGTTCCAGGGAACCTGATGCCCTCCTCTCTGACCTCCATGGATACCAACCACACACATGGTCACAAATATACATGCAGGAAAACATTCATACATATAAAATAAATGCTAGGGGCTGGAGAGATGGCTCAGAAGTTAAAAGCTTCAGCAGCTCTTCCAGAAGTCTTGAGTTCAATTCCCGGCAACTACATGGTGGCTCACAACGGACTATAATGAGATCTGGTACCCTCTCCTGTCATGCAGGAATATATCAGAACACAGTATACATAACAAATAAATCTTAAAAATAAACACTACAAAAATACAGAAATACGAAGCTGGGTGGTGGTGGTACATGCTTTTAACACCAGCACTTGGGAGGCAGAGGCAGGTGGATCTTTGTGAGTTTGAGGCCAGCTTGGCTTACACAGTGAATGCCAGAACAGGCTCTAAAGCCACACAGAGAAACCTTGTCTGGGGGTGGGGGGAAAGACAAGAAATATGAGTTTAACTTCTATTTAAACTGTTAGTTCTCTGAAAATTATTAATAAAATTCCTTCATAAGCCATGACTTTTGAAAACAAATCTTGAAACTTTCATTTTCTTTCCTTTCTTGGAATTCTAAATCCTGTTCACATCACTATAGCCTCTTTATTCCAATTGAAACTCACATTCTGTAATTGTAGAAAACAATACTTCTTAGTTAAAACAAGATAAGAAAACAGTGGCAGCTTGCTTGTGTAGCAATGTGGAAGACCTTGAATGTGATTCCAGGTAATGGGGGAGTTGGAGGAGAGGCAAAGAAACTGCTACTTAAATTCCCATGGTATAAGCCACTCAAGTCACTCTATGGTGGCTCATGCTCTTAATTGTAATTTCAGCACTTGGGAGGTTGAAAACACAGCCAGGGCTACACAGAGAAACACTATCTTGAAAAACAAACAACAAAAAATCATGGCATTTGAGCTTAATACTTTGTTTTTCAAGACAGGGTTTCTCTATGTAGCCCTGGATATCCTAGAACTTACTCTATATGTAGACCAGGCTGGCCTGAACACACAGAGTCTAATACTTAAAAAAAATATATTATTATTATTTTAGATTTACTTTACTTTGTATGTAAGAGTACTTTTCCTGAATGTTTGTCTGTTTGCCATATGCATGCACGATGCCTACAGAAATGGTGAGCCTCCAAGTGGGTGCTGTGAATTGAGCTCCAGTCCTCTGCAAGAACAAGTGCTCTTAACCACTGAGCCAACTCTCTAGTCCCTGATTCTAATGCTTTTTAAAAAATGATTTAAAATTTTTTTTTTGTGACAGTCTCTCTAGTATTGGATGAGTTAATATGCCTTGAACTCAGAGAGATCCTCCTGTCTCTGCCTCCCAAGGGCTGGGATAAAAGGTGTGAACTCATCCTGAAGGATTTATTTTTACCTTATTTGTATGTATATGTGTTTGTGATATGTGAATGTATTCCACATATTATTTGAGTGCTTGTGGAGCCCAATAGAGAGTGTTGGGGTCCCTGGAGCTGGAATTATGGGTAATTGTGAAGTCCCCATGTAGGTTCTGGGTACCAAGCTGGGGTCCTCTGGAAGAACCAAGTGCTCTTAACCTCATAACCTGGGAGCCATCTCTCCAGCTCCCATGGCCCTTTTTGAGACAGGTGTCATGTAGCCGAGAGTGGCCTTGAACTTTTGATGAAGCCAAGGATAACCTTGGACTCCCAATCTTCCTGCCTACACCTCCAAAGTGCTGAGATTACAGACATGTACCACCATGCCTGATTTGTCAAGCATGGACACCGAATACAGGACTTCATGCTTGCTAAGCATGTACTCTACCAACTGAGCTACATCTCCAGTCTTCCTATTCATATTTTTATGCGAACTTAGCTTTGGAGCCCAATCAACCACTACTCTACTACTCTTCCATGCAACCCCCCACCCCCACCCCCAGTAACAGCCCTGGCTGTCTTGGAACTCATTCTGTAGATCAGGATGGCCTTGGACCTACAATCTGTCTGTCTCCCAAGCACTGGGATTAGAGGCATGCACTACTGCTCAGCTGACAGTTTATTCTTGCTGCCATTTTGGCTAACAACATATTCTGAAAACCATCAGGTAGTTTTTAACATTTCCCCTAAAATGTCTGAAACAAGACTACAAAGTAATAAGATTGACAACAACAACAAAAACAAACAAACAAAAATACAAGCACAACCCTTAAACCATGTACTTTAAATCTCAAGTAAAAATGAAAATAAGCTACCTAAAGACCAGGCTTACTAATCTCCACTTCTCACACCATCCCTCCTTCCATTCCAATATACCCAGCATTTGCCTAGAACAGAAATCAGTATTTGTCAACTGATTTACACAAACAGGTACAGTTAGAACAGATAATGCAAAAGACAAGAGACCTGGAGGCAGAGACAAGTGGTCTCTGTGAGTTCAAGATCAGTCAAGTCTATAGTGAATCAAAACAAAACACTAACAAAAAAACTAAAAGACAACTGTTGGACGACACCTATCACTAAAGGACAGTCAATTTCTCTATGCTTCAGTTTCTCAATTATAAAACACAGACAATACCTATCTAAAGGGGTTACAAAAGTATTACATATTGTTACAACCTGATATGAGATTCAAATTATTTTACTAATAGTTACTGGAACTGAGGACCTTTATTGAAGCAGGAGCCCATGTCACTTAGGCTGGGCTTGAACTCTAGATCTTCCTGCCTTCACCTTCTGAGTGCTGGTGTGTAGTACTACAAATCCCTAAGACTTAAAATGTCCAGAACCCCTCTTGACTTTTAGGCCTTCAAACCTTTTCTTTGCACAACTTCCTACTCTTAGACTATCATACCCTCTGTACAAGACACCCCAAGTCTTCTCTCTTTTTATATTTGTTTCTGTAGGTTCTGTACATGTACCCTGTATCCAATTACTTCTCTACAGCTAAGATTTGGTCCAAACCATTATTTCTTTACTGAACAATGGCTGGTAACATGCAGAATATTTGAAAATCAATCATTTCGATCATTTTGCACCCTTGTTGAAATGGCTTCGATTTGAAATTTAAACAACCTACATTGCCTTAGAAAGGTCTTTGCCTATCTCCCATCACTACTGGATTTGTTTGCTTTACTTGAGTCCAATCTGTCTTCTGCCCCTTAGATATTCCAAGTTTTCCCCCCAAAACAGTCTCCTGATCTGTTAAGTCTCTTGTATCTAGAAGTATCTCTTTTCTGTCCATGGATGGTTTTGTTTACTCTTGAATGCTACCTACTCAGAGAAGATCTGTGAAAACACCGTCTCTTGCATGGCAGGCAAGAGTCCTACCAATGAGCCATGTGCCCCCGATTTCCAAATAATTCTATGAAAGAAAGCATTGGTTCAATTTTCATATTTTCTTTGAACAAGTTAGTCTCCGAGTCCCTGACAAAGATGACAACTTACTATATACCTGACAGACTTTAAACTAAAGTCTTAGCGTTTCTACAAATGTTAAATCTGGTCTCCCAAGTTCCCAAACAATGGCTCACGTTTCTATAAAGTCACAAACGGCGGTCAGAGAATCCGGTCACAGAACTTCACGCCAGAAGTTGTCCCAGATAGTCACACCCACCCCAAATCCATCCCATGAAATCAAGCCATCTCTTAGGGTTATGAATCGCCCAAGAGCTTCAGGCACTGAGTTGCTCACTGGCCACGCGTCCTCGATTCCTTCACACCGCGCACAGTAGGCAGAAAGCCACACCCGTCACCTAATCTATTATCTAATTGGCTGCTTTTGGCCCCACTTCTCACCCGGCAATTCCCGCATAAGGTAGAAGGGGCCGCTTCCAGCAGTCGATTTTTCTGCGCCCGCGGGGGCCGAGGTCGCAGTCGGGGGCGCGGCCGTGCCTGGACCACCTCCTGGAGGAGGCGGTGGTGGCGGGGGCGGCTTTCCAGGCCCGAAACCTAGGGCGCTTGGGGGTGGTGGGGGGTCGGTTTGAGCTCCAAACAGCGCCGTGAAATTCTCCATAGCACTCTCGGCTCCTGCATTACCCGGGATCTGGGGTTAAAAACTTTCATTGGACAGTACTTTCACAGGGTACCACCCTCGTCCTCGAAGAGCTTCCCGTCATTGGATACATTAGACCCCGCCTACCACCTTCCGGCAATTACTTCCGTCGCTCTAAGAGACAGGGAAGTAGCTCGCAGTCTTACAGCCAATAAAATGACTCAGGTAAAAAAGCGACAACTCTATAGACCAATGGGATATCTAACTCATTTTCTCGTCTATCATAGCACCCAATAAACGATCTACATCCGGGTCCAGAGGCGTTGCATCTGATATTTGGCCCAATAGAAGCCTCGCTGGTGGGGGGCGGCGGAGGGAAGAGCTGGGGGACCGAACGCAGCCTGGGAGAGAACAGGCAGGAAGATGGCTGTCCTCGCGCCTCTGATTGCTCTGGTGTACTCGGTGCCGCGGCTATCTCGATGGCTGGCCCGACCTTACTGCCTTCTGTCTGCCCTGCTCTCCGCTGCTTTCCTCCTCGTGAGGAAACTGCCGCCCATTTGCAACGGTCTCCCCACGCAGCGCGAAGATGGCAACCCGTGTGACTTTGACTGGGTGAGCGCCCCCTGCCTCAGCTCTCAACCTTGACCATCCCTGCCCCTGCAGGTGCATATGAAAGTATGGGGGGTATAGACTTCGGGATGTAACCATCTAACACACTGAATGGAGATGCTAGACCGTTACTAGTCTTAACCTACTTGTTTAAGATGGAGAAACAGATTCCAGGGTTTCTTCACACATAAACAGTGTTCTACAGTGATGCCAAGCTTCCTGGAGCACCGGAGAGGAAGGCAGGCAGTCCAGTAGTAGAAATACCATTTTAAATCATTTATCTGTCAATTTGGTAAATTGATTTCAGTGTAGTTATTTATGTATTTGGCAAATTGATCTCGGTGCTGTTAGGCGACTTTCCCAAGGTCACACAGCGTTCAGAAAGTGCTGTCTAACCTTGTTCAACTCAATGATAGGCCGGCGGACTTAGATCGCTAACTCAACAAAATGACTTAGGTGGAAAATCAACAGCATAACTACCCTGGCCACCGTAACTGCACATAATATCATCCTCAGAGGGATAGAAAGACAGAGATTACAAGAACACAAGGAGCGGGAAGCCCCTCATTGTTTGAGAAGCAATAATTTCAGAACAATTAACATTTGTTGTGAAGATTGTGGATATAGAGCTAACATTCCTTCCCTATCCAAATATTTATTTAAAGTAGCAGTGATCCTGAGGCTGGAGAGATGGCTCATTGGTTAAGAACACTTGCTGCTCTTCTAGAGGTCCTGAGTTCAGTTCTCAGGAACCACATGATGGCTCCCAACCATATGTAATGAGATCTGGTGCCCTCTTATGGCCCACAGGGAGAAATGCAAATGGAACATTGAATACATAATAAATTTAAAAAAAAAAATTGTAGTGACCCAGACTTAAGGACTGAAGGTATTACTGTAACCTTGGGTATACCTTATTTCTTTCCTCAGACATTTCTGGGACTCTCAAACAAGATTATTAACTTTGTTTACATTAAAGATACTGTACTTTCACAGGCTTTGTGTTATACCTCCTTAATCCCAGAACTCTGGAGACAGAGGCAGGTGGATCTCTGAGTTTGATGTAAGCCCTCCTGGTCTTACATCATTCCAGGTCAGACAAGATTACATAGTGAGACCCTGTCTCAAAAGGACACCACACCAGATACCCTACCTTTCTCCTTCCCTATGCTCTATAGTCATACCTTATAAATTGTAAACTGGGTGGTGGTGATGCCAATCTTAATCCCAGCACTTGGGGGGGGGGGCAGAGGCAGGTGGACCTCTGAGTTCAAGGCCAGCCTGGGATACATAGTGAAACCCTGTCTCAAGAAAAATAAAAAATAAAAAAGAAAGAATCACCCTATGATTTCATCTAGCCTTCTTAGCTACCCTTTGAAGATAACTTCAAATCTCACCAATACGGTATAGATGACTATGGTAAAGAAAATGAAGTGCCCATGTCATGCCAGGCAGTGGTGGCACACACCTTTAATCCTAGCATTTGGGAGGCAGGAGCAGGTGAATCTCTGTGAGTTTGAGGCCAGCCTGATCTACAGATTGAAACCCTGTGTCAAAAACCAAAACCAAACCTTACATACTCTAATGATAATCCAAATTTGATCCCCAATGCCCACGTTAGGAAGCTTATGGCTGCCTGTAACTCCAGCCTTAGGGATCTTTTTCAGGCACCTTGACTCAGTTGCACATACACGAATACATATACATGATTAAAAACTAATAAAATTGAATATTGAAATAGTTTTAAGAATACCTCAACTCTGGGGGCTGGAGAGATGGCTTAATGGCTAAGAGCATTAGCTACTCTATTAGGGAACTTGAGTGAGGTTCCTCACATCCACATGGTTGGAAACAACTATCCATAATTCCAGTTCAGCACTGACTTCTGGTCTCTGTGAGTACTAGACATTCTGTACTCTTATAGACATTCAGTAATAAGCAAACTTATAGATATTCAGATAGACCACTAAAATACACATAAAATAAAAATAACTCTTTAAAAGTGAGCACATGCACTCTAAGCTCTTCATACTGGCCAACTGTGAAACTCTGATTTAATGAAACTAGGAGTCCCAGTTTGGTCTGAGTGGGCTCCTAAAAGATGAGGGGAACTCCTCTGGCTGTGCCTTTAGTCCTTCTGGCCTGCAACTTGTTATGTAGACCAAGATAGATTTGTGCTTTTGGCATTTCCCCTGTATCTACCCTTCAGAATGCTGGGTTCACATATGTGCACTACTACCTATGGACTGGCCCTTTGTGTACACTGAAGGTGCAAAACAATACAAATTTGAGACTCATTGGAAAGAAATTGTAAAAATAATAATATTATAATAGTAACTGTAAAAAGCGCAGCGTGGTAGTACACCTCTGTAATATCAGCATTCGGAAGGTAGAGACAAGATCACAAGTGTAAAGTAAACCACTTTAGGGAATTGGATTCTACCTTGACCTACAAAACATTCTCGAAAACAAAACAAAGTTCAAAAAAATAAAGACAAACCATTGTAGCCTAAACTATATAGTAAGATCCTTCCTCAAAACCAAATAACAAAAAAGAACCCAGCACTTGAGAGGCTGAGGTGGGAGGAGCATAGTGAGTTTGAAACGTGCCTGAACTACACAATGAGATAGAATGAAAGAACAGTTTGGCAAGTTATCCTCGAACTTCCACATGTGTGCTGTGGCACATGCATGGGTATACACACACATTTTAAATAAATGTAGTTAAAAAAAAAAAAAAGAAAACCACTGAGATATGGTCATGTACCACTATAATCCTGGTACTTTAGAGGCTGAGACAGGAGAATTGCTTGGGCAAGATAGTGAGAGAAAGTCTCAAGAATGGAAGGGGAGGAGAGAGTGAGAAAAAAGAAAACACAAAGGTCGGGGATTTGCAGAAAGATACTATTCAGTTGCCAAGAGTAGACTCTAAACCTAGCTTTTTGGACTTGTTGCTCCCACTACACCTTAGCCAACTCCAGTTATTTCTTTGTTACCAACCCAAGCTGGATCTCTAGTTTTGCATCTTTTGTTTTGCACTCTATCCCACTAGCTTCATTCTCCACGTTGCTGTCTTTGATTATCTTCCAGAGAGAAGTGGAGATCCTGATGTTCCTCAGTGCTATTGTGATGATGAAGAACCGCAGGTCCAGTAAGCTCACCTGCTTTGTTTGCTCTCACTGGGGGTTAGGACTCATGCCCTGGAGAAGTGCTTTTAATGAACTAGTTCCACATTTCATGCCAGGGGCTAATTTGACCTTGGACTCTATCCTCTCCTTCCCATTCCCATTTCAAAGTACCCCAGAAAGAGGGACAAGGAGTGGGAGCCTTCAGCCCAGCCTGACTGTGGTATCTCTGTGTTCCAGTCACTGTGGAGCAACATGTAGGCAACATCTTCATGTTTAGTAAAGTGGCCAATGCAATTCTTTTCTTCCGCCTGGATGTTCGAATGGGTCTGCTGTACCTCACACTCTGCATAGGTGAGAAAATGGCTTTTATTACATTACAGTTCTATCATTAATAATTTGAAATAGTAAAGTTTTTTGATAAAGGCTTGATTTTTTTGGGGGGGGTTCTTTTTTATTGCGAGACAGGGTTTCCCTGTGTACTTTTAGAGACTGTCCTAGAACTAACTCTTGTAGACCAGGTTGGTCTCGAACTCACAGAGATCCACCTGCCTCTGCCTCCCAAGTGCTGGGACTAAAGGCATGTGCCAACACCTCCCCGAAAAGGCTTGATTTTTAAGGACCAGATTCCAATCTTTATTTTATACCTAATAAATTGTATTTGTAGCTCTTTAAAAAAACATAATTTACTCTTATTTTATGTGAATTGGTGTTTTGCCTGCATGTATATGTGTGTGAGGGTATCAGGTCTTGGAGATACAGGTAGTTGTTCTTAGTTGTCACGTGGGTGGTGGGAATTGAGCCCAGGTCCTATGGAAGAACTGCTCTTAACTGCTGAACCATCTCTCTAGCCCATATTTGTAGCTCTTAATTGTATGTAGTTGCTAAGTATTTACTTAGTATTTTAAGAGGAATATGTGCTAGAGATTTATGTACTCATGTGTATTCTTTGATGTCTGAAATTCCTGAGTGGATTTGCTGTGTATGTTACTGACTTCTTTTCTCTGTGTTTAGTGTTCCTGATGACCTGCAAGCCACCCCTGTACATGGGTCCTGAGTACATCAAGTACTTCAATGATAAAACCATTGATGTGAGTATTCTACTTTCTGTTTCTTGGGTCCTGCTCTGTGGTTTTGTGCTCTTCATTCATAAAGATAGTGCCTCAGGATGGAAGTTGGTAGCTGGGGTTGGTAGAGCATAATTGCTATCCTGTTATTTGGGAGTCTGGGGTAGAATTGCTGCAAGATGTTTTTCTTTCTTTTTTTTTTTTTTTCCAGTTGTTTGTGTGTTTGTTCATTTTTGTTTTTCAAGATGAGATTTCTCTGTGTAGTCTTGATAGTCTTGAAACTGCCTCCGTAGACCAAGCTGGCCCTGAAAGAAGAGATCAACCTGCCTCTGCCTCCCAGTTGTTAGTATTAAAGGCATATGCCACCATCACCCAGTGGATTGATGTACATTTGAGGCCAGTATGGGCTACATAGTGAGTTCCATAGTATCTTACATAGTAAGATTCTGTCTCAAAAGAAAGACTGGTAGGCTGGTGAGATGACTCATCAGGTAAAGATGTTTGCCACAGGAGCCTTGACGACCTGAACTTGGTCCCTGGAACCCATGTAAAAGTAGCAGTGGGGAATCCACTCCACAGAGTTTTCCTGTGACCTCCCTATACGCACCATGGCATATACACAATAATAAATAAATTAATAAATAAATGTTATAAAACAAAAGGATTCAGTGGGTAAAATGGAGGTCCTTGGTGCCAGCCCTCAGTCTTTAGGCTGGAAAGAGAAAACTGTAAGTGGGCAATGGCCCATGTGCCTATACCCACGCTAACTACAATTAAAAACTTTAGGTTGGCCGGGCAGTGGTGGTACACGCCTTTAATCCCAGTACTCAGGAGGCAGAGGGAGGTGGATCTCTGTGAATTCGAGGCCAGCCTGGTCTACAGATCTAGTTCCAAGACAGGCTCCAAAGCTATACAGAAAAACCCTTTCTTGAAAAACAAAACAAAACAAAAAATCTTAATTAAAAAATTTAGGTAATTAAAAAAAATGTTGGTTGCCCGGTAGTAGTGGTAGTGGTACACACTTTTAATCCCAGCTCTCGGGAGGCAGAAGCAGGGAGATCTCAGTAAGTTCAAGGCCAGCCTGGTCTATAGAGCTAGTTCCAGAATAGCTAGGGCAGTTTCCCAGAGAAACAGTGTCTCAAAAAACCAAAACAAAGGGGGGAAAAATGGTCATTTTGCTTATGGTACAGTGCTTGCCTCCCATGTATGAGGCACTGGATTCAGTCTTTGGTACCAACAAACAAACCTGAAGAGGCTGTCAGGGTACTGGTTCATTATGGGAAGGGGAAATGTAAGGTAAGGAGTTAGTCACAGGTGTGAACCTCCTCAGCTGCCAGCTGTTTGTTTCAGCCTGTTCTCTCTTCCCTTTGTGTGGTAGGAAGAACTGGAGCGGGACAAGAGGGTCACTTGGATTGTGGAATTCTTTGCCAACTGGTCTAATGATTGTCAGTCATTCGCTCCGATCTATGCTGACCTGTCTCTCAAGTAAGTATGCAGGGGGCTGGAGAGGAGGCTCAGTGGTTAAGAGCACCAGCTGCTCTTCCAGAGGTCTTGGGTTCACATGGCAGCTCACAACTGTCTGTAACTCTAAGATCTGACAGCCTCACACAGACATACCTGCAGGCTAACCACCAACACACATAAAATAAAAAATAAATATAAATCAAGATTTTTTTTTTTTTAGAGATAAGTATGTAGAGTGAGGCTCGTCAAAATTGGAAACGTTGTGACTTCTTTCTCTGTCCTAATGTTGTATATCCAGAGTTGTTTCTCCCTTTCTTGCTCAGGTATCTATATTTCCAGTTCCCTCCATTTATCCCTACAGTATGTTAAATAATATATTTTTTTTCAGGTACAACTGTACAGGGCTGAATTTCGGGAAGGTAGATGTTGGACGCTATACTGATGTTGGCACAAGGTATGTGGATGCCTTGGCAGAGGGTCTGAGCTGAGAATTCCTTAGAGGGGTGTAAGTGATGGATACAGCTGTATTTACAAAATCCTCTCTGGATCCTCTAGGTACAAAGTGAGCACGTCACCCCTCACCAAACAACTCCCTACCCTGATCCTGTTCCAAGGTGGCAAGGAGATAATTCGTCGGCCGCAGATTGACAAAAAAGGACGAGCTGTCTCTTGGACCTTTTCTGAGGTACATGAAAAAAAATGGGCAACAATCTGGAAAATGATATACAACAATGAATGGGCTTTATACTTAGTCTGGATTTAATTCTGAGTTCTGCTACTGGCCCACTGTTTTTGAGAGTGTAGATTAGTTACTAGATGTTACCTAATAAGTAACTCAGCAGGTTTGTTATATGCTTGCTGCTGATACTGAGGAAAACCATACATAAGACTTAGTCTGTGAGGTGCTTGTAGTTTGTAGGCAATTAGGTTTCTCGTCAGTAAATTGGAGGTAGTAACACCTGGCTCGTAGGATTGCTTTACAGTTGCATGTAGATACAATTCTTGGCACAAAAACTGATCTCTAACGTATACTTAAATACCAAAGAAAAGTTAGGTTGGGTCTGAACTTTACCTTCCCACCTAATGCCTGATGTGTTCATCTCTTTTGCATAGGAGAATGTGATTCGAGAATTCAATTTGAATGAGCTATACCAACGAGCCAAGAAGCTGTCAAAGGGTGGAGGCAATGTGTCGGAAGAGAAGCCTGTGGCCTCTTCTCCCACTGCTGTGCCAGATGGGGAAAACAAGAAGGACAAATAGGATCCTGCATTGTTCTTGCTTCTTCTGTCAGTTTTTGGCACCTCTGAGGCCCAATTCCAGTTGTAACCACAATCCTTGCCCGAGGCTGTGGCTGTTTGTTTTCTCCTATTTGGCAGTGCCTGGGTTGGGGCAGGGTGCCTGCTTCTGATTTCTGAAGAAGTTCGGAGTCCAGGGAACCATGAAGCATTCATTCTATGGAAGGGCTGTTCTGCCCTGGCCAAGTGTTTCTCCCAGGGAGTGACCTCATGGATAGAGGTAGAAATGGTATCCCTCCAAGGTTGGGTCAGCATGTAAAATGCTATTCAACGCTTGGATATCACCAGTCTGTGGTTTCATTATGCCTCCTAGTGAGCCTGCAAAGCACAGACTAAATTAAACTCTAATATTAGATGTCAGAGTATAAAGCACTAAGAATTTTTCCTCAAGGACCCTTTCTTCCTTAGGCCTTTCTGGCTGATCTGTGGCATTCATTAACATAGTTAAGTTTAAGGGATTGGGGAAATGGCTCAGTGGTTAAGAGCACTGGCTACTCTCCCTTCGATTCCTAACAGCCACGTGGGGGGCCGAACTGTCTGCAACTCTAGTCCCAGGCAGTCCAGTAACATCTCCTGGCCTTGGCTGTCACTGTATGCATGTGGTGCACAAACATCCATGAAGGCAAAACACCCAAAAGGGGTGCATGTGGTATAATTTAATATTTAAGTATCACTGATCCCAATGACAAGCCTTCAACCAGAATTTTCATCATTGGAAATAAAATTAAACGGTCCCCCTGTACTGTGGGAACTGAGGGAAGGGCAATGTTAACTTGAGGGGTTCTTTTGTGTGGCTGGTAGGCTGGAATAAGAAAGCCCCAAGGCTGGACAGCTGTTTTCTACTATTGTCCACCCAGCTTTCCTTAATAAAGGGATTGTTATTTTGATTGCCTTGGTGTTTCTCCTTTATTAGAAAGTGAGCAGCTGTGAAAGAACTGCCCCAGTTTTTTTTTTTTTTTTTTTTGTTTTGTTTTTTGAATCTAAGATTGAATATTGAACTCAGGGAGTTTTTTGTTTTGTTTTTAATCAAACACACCTCTAGACCCTAATTAACTTTTTTTTTTTCCCCTTTTAAAGCTTGTGGGTGAGGTTCTTGATCTGTTGGAGAAATTAACCTCTAAATCACCATCCTCTTGATTCACCTAAATACCTGAGACTAAAGGCGTCAGCTACTGCGCCTGAATTATAAAATGGGCTGGGGTTCAAAGTCCACTTAACATCAAAGACCTTACTTTTGGTTTCACCACGTGAGGACATGGATCTCCAAGTTCTGTGCGAGTTAGCTTCTGTAGTCTATGTACAAACAGCACGGAAATGCGGTGTAAACTTCACTTAGAATTGGTTTACAGATCCCAGGGTAGGAGGTATAGAGAGCCACTAGCCGAAAAGGACGCAAAGAAAGGCGCGCGCGCGCGCATGTGTGTGGTGGAGAGAGGTGTGCGCGCGCCTCGTTTGTGTGTGTGTGTGTAGAGGGGTGCATGTGCGCGTACGCATCTTGTATGCAGGTCCTCGTGGTACAGGGTAGTTTGCTCCAATCCTCCGCACCGCCCCCCACCTCCCCTCTGATAGGCTGCGTGGTTGTGTTTAAAGGTCCCGCCTTCAGGTCACGTGGGCGCCGCCAGCCGCGCTTCTTTTGCTTCGGGGTTTGAATTTAACTGCGGTTCTGGGCTGCGAGTTTGTCTCTTTGGGGTTGCGTCCCACCTTATCCTACGAACGCCTCAAACCCACGTTGTTTCGGGCACCGGAGGTCCGTACCATGGCCCCTAGCGGAAGAAAGCGGAAGGCCGCGCCGGCAGAGACAGTGGACAAGCGCGAGAAACTGGCGGAGGGCCTGGCGGTGGTCATTGAGCATTGGTGAGGGGCCGGGAGTCGCGGGGGGGGGGCGGGGGAGCATAGGCCTGGCTGCTGGGACTGAGGCCCCTTTTGCAATCCCTTGTGTCCACAGCACGAGCTGACGCGTCTACGGGCGCCATGCTGCTGCCCTGAGCCAGGCTCTGCAGCTGGAGGTCCCAGAGCTGCCTGTGCAGGTGAATCCATCCAAACCGCGGAGGGGCAGCTTCGAAGTGACGTTACTGCGCCCGGACAACAGCCGTGAGTGGAGGCCGTGATGGGGTTAGGGGCGAGAAACGAAACCCGGGCACCTGATGACTGAGGAGTTGGGGTAGTAGTGAATGCCACCATAATTGAGCTTTATCCGATCCATTACCAGGTGCCGAACTCTGGACTGGTATTAAGAAGGGCCCGCCACGAAAGCTAAAATTTCCTGAGCCTCAAGAAGTGGTTAAAGAATTGAAGAAGTACCTTTCATAAGGGCCGTTGGCAGGAAATTTCCATGCTGAGGTTTGCATCAAGACACAGGGATGCACATTGAGGTCGACTATTAAAAGTCTCCTTACCATTACAACTTTATCTCGTGTGGGATTAAACAGTAGAATTCCTGCTGGTAACCCCTCCCCCTCAAAGTCTTGCCCTACAGGTATAGGCAAGTTTTGCATTTGTTTACTAATTCCATTTCCTATCTCTGGTGACTTTTTTAATTTATATGAGTCTATTGCAAATCTTCCTGGTTCAACAAAGTGTGATGTATTTCTTTAGTTAAGGTTTTTCTCCCTTGTATTGGCAGAATCTTTGCAGTTACTTAAACTTTACCTGCACTTTTCTGGTTTTTGCTAGTCTATAAGGTAGCCTTATACCATCCCCACCCCCATTATTGTTTACATATATTTGATTTTGTCCCTAGTGCTTCATATGTTGCTTTGGCATGTTTTCTGAACTTGCATGTTGAGTGAGTTTTGTGTGGCTAACTACAGGTGGGGGTGGGCATGCTCTATTGGTCCTTGTGATTGCCTGGAACCCAACTCTGATGTTCTCTTGTCTATTTGCAGCTTTCATTCCCTGGAGATGTTGAAGCATTTATGATAGTGCATGGCCAAACTTAAGCTATGTACCTGAAGCCATAGTTTCTTCCTCACCAGAGATGATGGTTCAGTTGTGAGACAGCCCTCCAACAAGGCATTGTAAAAGTGTTTGAATTGGTTTAATAAAAGTTAAAGTATCTGAGAGTAAGGGTCAAGTTTAAATTTTGTTTTAAAGGATGGACACAACCAGCCTTGTGGGGTCGTTGGTTTTTGTATTTTTCATAGTGCAAAATAACTTCTATGTGGAAATTGTGGGGTCTGTGGTAAAATGTGAACCGCTTATAAAAACATGGATGTTGCTGGGTTTGGTAGAGTATGCCTAAAATCTCAGTACTTGGGAGGCTGACAGGAAGATTGGGAATTCATGGCCAACCTGACCTATAATACCAGGTTGCTTTTTGTAAAACAAACAACAACAACAAAAACCCATAGACACAAAGTAAACCTTTTTTTTTTTTTTAAAGCAACTACTTTTAATCTACTTCTTGGAAGTGGTTATGGAAATAACATCTTCCAGGCCCCTTTGGAAGCTTTTGCTAGACTTCTCATACTGGCAGTGAGTAAGCCCTATAGGCTGGGCTTAGTGGCACAGACCTATAACACCAGATATAAGAGGCTGAGACAGGAGTCAAAGTTCAGTGCCAGCCTGGGCAATTTAGAGATCCCACTCTCATTCCAGTGTTCTACCTAACATAGTTTCATTCCTTTGAAAACATTCTTTAAATAGAACCCAACCACAAACAGTGTTCTACGTTTTCCTGAATTTTCAGTGACTATCAGCTATCTCATGAACTATGAAAGGCCTTGTCTTAACTATTCCTATATCTTAACTAGAGTTGGGGACCACAATTATTTTGTTACCAAAAAATGGATTACAAAAAAATAGCTCAAGTTCATAATTTTCTACCCATGGTATTGCTATTTGACTTCTGCCTGGTGCACAAACCTCAGTAGGGAAACCAGTGCTGAGAGGAGACGTGCTTGCTTTTCTGCCAAGAGAGCCTTTTGCTGATCAACAGTTGTCACCCTCCTAGAAGCTCTAACCAGCCCTCTGCCTCCACTATGTTAGTATATCTACCTCTGTTTCTGACTCTGAGGAAGGGTCAGGCCAGACAGAGGGAACACTAGTGGGCCCTAGCCTACCCTCCACTGTCCAGTCTACCACATCAATCTCTTCATCTTCAGAACTGCCAGGAAATGGATCCAGCAGTTCAGGGTTAGAAGACACTTCCCTGACTGCCTTGGGAGCAGGATACAATACCTCATTCATGCCTAGGGACACTTCCAGTCCTGTCTCTGCCCAATGTGAACATGGAAGTGAGAGATCCCTATAAGACCTTTGGGAAGAGTCAGGGGAGTCAAGGTGGAGAAGTTTTTCTCCCTGACCATCCAGTGGCTGGGAGCTGGTAATTTCAAGGTCTGCAGGCCAAGAACCTCTTAGTGAAAGTGCCTCTCTACTCACCTCAGAGGGCATGACAAGGGGGCTAAGGGCCTCAATTGATTCTGAGTTCTCAGAGCGCAAGACAAGGGGACTAAAGGGCTCAACTGGCTCTTTGTTCTCTCCAACAGGTTCCTTTTCCAATCCTGTAAGGTCTCTGGGCCAGAGTTCCATGTCTGGCAAACACCATTCTTCCCCTTCAATCCAATTCTTCCCTGTTTCTGACAGGTGATAACTTGGGGTTCTGCAGCCTTCTGCCTGAGGACTCTCCAAAGATCCTACAGGTGGCTCAACATCTGAGCCACAAAGCATGAAGTCCAAAATCTCTTCCAGTTCACTGGTGGCTGCTGCACTTGTGATTCGATACTGCTCAGCTTCACAGGGCTGGCCTAGCAGGGTTGTGTCAAATGTGTAGGGCTCTCTGCAGTCTATATTCAACACAGGTTCCTTCCCTAACAGCATTGGACTGGACCCAAACTCTGACTTTACCACAGGGTGCTCTGGGGAGTGGCTAGCTGAGAGCAAAATATCTTGTAGCCTAGGGCTCTCTGGGGAGTCCTGACACAGTTGTAATCTGGCAGGTATTTCCTGCTCATTAACTGAGGACAACAAAGTTCCTGGAGGCTCTTCTACACCTGAGGGTTCTAGGGTCTGGGGGCTATCTTGAGTGTTTCTGAGGGGAGGCTCCTGTACCACCTCCCAGCAGGTACCATTGACAATCTTCCTAAGTTTTACTCTACCAACCTGCCCCTCTTCCACAGAGTTGGAAGTGACTGCTCTGACTTCAGGGCTCTGCTTCTTGCTCCCACCTGTCTTCCTAACATCTGGTGGGTCTGGAGTGCTCTGTGGAAGTCTCACTTCCCCTGGCTTCTGCTTGTCCACACCCTGTGCTGCTTTACTTACACTTCTCTGCCTCCAAAGACGCCGGCCAGGAGCTGTGGGCACTGAACTGGGACCACTTAAAACGCTGGAAGGCTTAGATGTACAGACATGGGGTGATGGCTTTGAGCGACTCAGCCTGATCTTTCTGGGCAACAGTTGCTCATCCACAGAAGAAGAGTACAAGCTGGGAGGGGAAAGTGCTGTAGGACCTAGAGCAGGGTCATTCTTGTTCTCTTTAGGCCCTTCTCTCTGGCTTGATGGAGATGAGTTTCTTTCTTGAGTCAAGCAAACCCTGGCTTTCTTCTTGAGGAGAAGGGTGTCTGACAAGCTATCTACACTTGGTAAGGTGCTCTTTTTGTGAGGCCCCTCTTCTTCCCCTAAGGACTTCAACCTCACAGCTCCAAGAGGACTAGGAGTCTGGGTGACAGGCAGTGGAGTTCGAGGGCGGCGGCTGGGTGCTACCACTCTGGCAGAGATTGGTGCAGTACTTGGTGGCTGTAAGCACTCTCTATTTAGTCTTCGGCCTTGGGGAGCCTTTACTAACTTACCACCTTCTAGCTGAAGAGTTTCCAGCTCAGATACTCGGAGCTGACGGGCAGCAGAAAGCACATCCTGGGCTTCTTCCTGAGATACTTCCATCTCTGAAGTATACAGGAAATCCACCAGCTTCCTAAGTGTCCTGATCTTTAAGCCTCCCAGCTCCAGCACTACCTTCCGACCCTGAACTGGCCTTTCCCGCTCCAGGCGTTCTGTGAAGAAGGGACTACAGGCGGACAGGATGCAGCAGTGGGCTGGGACAGCCTCACCTGGAGGGGAGAAAACACTCTTGTTTAGCTTTTTCTTTATTTCTTTTGGTCTGCTTTTAGTCCCAATAACAACAAAAATTACTAATTTGAAGATAAAGAAAAAAGCAGTATCATTAGGGCTTTAAAAACCTTGTCCAAGCCAGGTTTGGTGATATAAGTCTGTAATCTCAGACCTTGGAAGGTAGAAACATCAGGAGTAAAAAGTCATTCTCAAGGCCAGTATGAGCTATAGGAGAGATTGTTTTGTTTTTCCTTCTTCTTCTTTTTTTTTTTTTTTTGTTTGTTTGTTTTTGTTTTTTGAGACAGGGTTTCTCTGTATTGCTTTGGAGCCTGTCTTAGAACTAACTCTGTAGACCAGGCTGGCCTGAAACTCACAGAGATCTGCCTGCCTCTGCCTCTCCCAAGTGCTGGGATTAAAGGTGTGTGCTACCAACACCCAGCTTCCTTTTGGTTTTTCAAGCAGAGTTTCTCTTTGTACTCCTAGTTGTCCTGGAATTTGCACTGTAGACCAGGCTGGCCTCAAACCCACAGAGATCTGCCTGCCTCTTCTCCCAAGTGCTGGGATTAAAGGTATGAGATATCACCCAACAAGAAATCTTGTTTTCAAAACACCCAACCAAACAAAAAAGCTTTCCTAAGTGCTTGATATATCCCATTAGGATATTATGTGTATTTTATAGAATTTCTATGCCCACAAAACTTTCCAATTTGTTTTTTGTTTGTTTGTTTGCCTATTTTCAGACAGGGTCTGGTTATATATAGCCCATACTCGGCTCAAATTCACGAACCATTTGAGAACAGTGGTTAAATTGTACACCACTACATCAGACTCTAGTTTCTTTCTTTGTGTGTGTGCATGCATATCCTTGAAGGGGTGATGTGTTCATGCTATTGTATGCATGTGGAAGTAAGAGGAACACTTAAACTGTCAGTCCGCACCTTTCACTTTATTTGACATAGAATCTCTCCGTGTCCTCTATAATGCCAGGCTAGCTGGTCTACAAGCTTCCCAGGGTTTTCACTGAGATTGGAGGTGTGCAGAACTGTACTGGCTTTACCTGGGATCTGAGGATTCAAACTCAGGTTCTTACATTTGCATGGTAAGTTCATTACTCATAGAGCTACATAGAGTTTGAGGAAAGCCTAGGCTGAATGAGTTCCTATCTCAAAAAACAAGACTAATCCTAAACCATGTGTGATGGTGAAAGAAAGCCTTTAATACCAGCTCTGGTGAGACAGAGGCAGAGGCAAGTTCTAGATCCCTATGAGTGTCAGGTCAGCCTGGTCAACATAGCAGGTTCTACAAGGCTACATAATGAGACCCTACTCAATAAAACAAACACCACCACCACCAACACCCCATCCCCTCACAAAAGTAATTATCCTGGAAACAAAAAGCTTTTCACCAAAGAGTTTACAATATTTATAGGTAAGAACATTCTTCTAGGTTTATTGTTTACCTCTAGCCTTGAATTCATTTTACCTTCTTCTATAATGACTTTTCAGTTGAACCTCCTTTATTTTCTTACCCTCTGCCTGCAGAAGGGCATCACAAAACACACCACTCTGCTGCTGGTGATGAAGTTGCAGAAAAGCTACCCGGAGGAACCGGGGATTCCTGTACAGGATTTTGGAACTGGCAGGAGAGCACATGTTGTATTTGATGAATAAACCTTCTAGGTTTTCTCAGTTCAGATTCCTGTGGGTGAGATAATATATTTCAGAGGTATGATTATACCTAACTTATTTTTTGTCTTTGAAATGGTAAAGTAAGAGACAATGAGTTGAAGAAACATCAGCTGAGAAGTTATGCTGAGGATAATCTCAAGAAAGACTATTATGACAGTGGTTGCATGCAGAAGCTCCAAGATAAGCCTACATTTGAAACTTGGTCTGTTCTTAACTAGACTAGCTATATAATACCATGCAAGTGACCTAACTTCTCAGAAACTCACTTTTCTCAGGCATGAAATGGAAAAATAACAGTACTTAGCTTTTGTAGGGCTTTTAAAAAAATTTTGAACAAGCCAGACATGGTGGAGCATGTCTATAATTCCAGTTCTTGGGAAGCAGAGGTAGTATGATCAGGAATTCAATGACATCCATCCTCCCATATATGACTAGTTTAAGACCAGCCTAGGCCCTATGAGACCCTGTCTAAAAACACAACAAAACAGAACAAAACAAATGAGGGCATGGTAGTAAGTGTCTGTAATTGAAACAACTGAGAGGGAAAAGTAGAGGACTGTGAATATGAGGCCAGCCTGGGCTGTACAGGAAGACTGACTCAAAATATAATTAAATGACAGGCAAAATGTTTAGTACGGTGTGCCCACAACAAAATAATTATCTTCTCCAAATACACTTCAGTCTTTCTCACTCATATTAGCACTGAGACCTAAATCCTATAGTGCCAACCACTCACATTCTTCCTGTGCACCAGGTCTCCGCATACTTTCAAGTTCACACTTTCAAAGACCATACTGCTAGCTTTAAAACTGACTCCTGGAAGCCATATGCACCTTGCTTTAAGCTCACTTATCACACTAACCAGCAGAGGGTGCATAATCAAGAAAAGACAGAATTTGGAAGGTCTTGCATATAGAATAAGACCACTGCTGACTGATCAAAGTGAACAGGAATAATCTCGTCAGTTTGAAAAAATAAAAATAAAAATGGACTTATGGAGCCTGGTTAACAGTGGAGCAAGGAGAGGTAAGCATTTGACCCTTTCTCACCCAAATAAAATGAATATTGTAACTTAAAATTTCTAGTGTGTGTGTATGTGTGTGTGTGTGTTGCGTGTGCGTGCGCACGCGTGCGTGAAGGCCAGAACCACTTCCCCAACCCTACTCACTGCACAGCTGTGTGTTCTTTTTCTGGTACAATTATGTAGTTTTCTGTCAGGTAGCACTGAAGAGTCCAAATAGTTCACGTCAAAACTATCAGGGAAAAAAAAGAGTGGATAAATTAAGAAAGAGAAGTATCAGCTGGCTTTGGTGATCCCACGTCTGTAATCCTAGTTGTAATTCCGGAGGCCAACGCAGGAATATTGTTTTGTTTCAGACCAGCATGGGCAATTTACTGAAAACTCCGTCCTCAAAATAGAATTTTAAAATAACTCAGGGGTAGAACTCTTGCCTGGCAAGTGTGGAGGCTTTATATCAAGAATGGTGCAGGGGGCAGGCAGGGGGGAGAAAGACAACAACTAATTCTTATCCTAGCAAAGGGAATGAATGTGGATGAACAAAGTACCTGTTGCAAGGGTGCCGAGAAGCCTTCCAAAATACCAGTGCTTAGCCTTGTGCTCGGACCCAACCTGGAAGCGTGTTGGCAGTAAATTTGCTCCTGTTGTCTCTGGTCCTCTTGTCCAGTTGCTTTGTTTCCTCCTAATGTCCAGTCTTTAGCCGAAGGGTTGCGCAAAGCAGCACAGGTGGGCCAACTGCCTCAGCGATTCCCCTCCTAATGCCAAAACAGGGAAACAAGGCTTAGTGGAGAAAACGGTGGCGGCGCTGAAGGAAGGCCCTGCAAAACAGGTCACCCCGCACGCTCTGGGCCCCGGCGCCCAACTCCTTTGAAGAGGGAAATTCGGCGCGAGGGTTTCTGGGAACAGGGCATGGAGCTAGTGGAGGCCCGAAATCAGGGCTGATCCTCACGGACACCGCTGGCTTAGTCCACACGTGTTTTGCAGTCTCTCCCTGGCGCCCACGGGCCTCCCCGGGTCTCCAGCACCCACATGCACTGGGCAGTGATGACGACGAGGGCCTGAGGCCACGCGGCCCGGGCTACACACCGCGCGCTGCCATCCTCGCGCTCCGGGCGTCGAGGGCTCCGACGACTTCCTTCCTCAGCCCGGCGCTACCTACGCGCGCCAAAATACGTCATCCCCATTGGACGGCCGCCCCCGGGAGAACCAATCAGAGGAGGAGGAGTGCTTTGGCGGGAGGCGAAGTATCGAGGGAATTGCGGCTGAGGGAAGACGGCTGGGCTGCGAGAGGTAGGGATACCGGGCCGAACGGGAAGGATTGTTCTGGAACGTGCCTTGTCCCGGAACACACTGAAGGCAGGGCCAAGACTCCCTGTTTAAATAAAGCGGCTCCAATGCAGTTGAGGTACACGTCTTTGTTCTCCTGGACAGGCTGCAAATAACCTTGGCCCTGCCTAGATCAGTCTAGGCTTCATTTGTGGAGGAAAAAAAAAATTATTATGTTTCTGCTTGCAGTATTGCCCATCAAGATAGATATTTTCAAAGATTAGAGAGGTTCTGACACCGCACCCCCACCCCCGTGGATTCCATCCCAACCCTGAATCTATAGAAGTGGTGACCCAAGGGAGTTGTGGGAGCATCTACTTGTAGTGTGTTCCTGTAGCCTTCTACAGACCATTTATTTAGCTCGGTTGCTAACTAGAAACTGCTGTTTTCAGGAGTGGTAAAAAAGAGAATGATTTCAAGATTTTAAAAAATTACAGAGAATGAAGCCAGGAATGGTGGCCTTTAATCCCAGCTCTTGGAAGGTAGGGGCAGTTGATATCTGTGAGTTCGAGGCCAGCCTGGTATATAGAGCGAGTTCTAGGACAGTCTCCAAAGCTACACAGAGAAACACTGTCTGGAAAAATAAAAATAAACCAAAAAAAAAAAAAAAAGTCATTCTCTACATCTCTTTACCAATGTGCATTAGGATGGATGACTGGTCCTCAGTAGATACCTGATGAAGCCCTGCTTAGAGTAAAAACGTCCAAATTCAAAGCTACTGATTGCAAAGTGGGCAGAATGAAATGAAGTAGCCAAGAGGATGTAGAAAGGAGAACCTGCAAAAACAAAACGTATATAACACAGGGTGTTCAAATGTGTCTTTAGGATCAGAGGGCTTCAAGTGTAACTTAATGCTAGAATGTTTTGCTAGCATATAGGAAGCCCTGAGTTCTGTTTTCTTTCTTTCTTTCTTTCTTTCTTTCTTTCTTTCTTTCTTTCTTTCTTTCTTCTAAAATTAATTTATTTATATCTTATTTATGAATACTCTGCATGTATACCTGCATGCCAGAAGAGGGCATCAGATCCTATTATAGATAGTTGTGAGCCACCATATGGTTGCTGGAAATTGAACTCAGAACCTCTGGAAGAATATCTTTCTGAGCCTAGTCTCCAGCACCCCCCCTCTTTTTTTTTTTTTTTTTTTTCTTTAAGAAAAGGATTTGAGCTGGTTGTGGTGGTGCATGCCCTTAATCCTAGCACTCAGAAGTCAGAGATAGGTGGATCTCTGTGAGTTCAAGACCACCAGGATCTACAAAGAGTTCTCCAAGACAGCCGGGGCTGTTATACAGAGAAACCCTGTCTTGAAAACTAGAAAAAAAGAAAAGGACTTGAAGTAGTTCAGCACATTTCCAAGTAGGTCATATTTCCCTTAGTTTGGATTCTGCTTCAAGGATGAAAAAAGAAACAAGAAGCAGGACATTTTCAGTTGCAGTTGTCAAGTTTTGAAGAGGAAGCAGTTTGTGAAAAGACATACAACTTGCTGCAAGACAAGATAGATTCCAGATATTATCAGTAGCAGCAGCAGAGACAAGCAAGCAAGGGAAAACAAAAGCTACAAGTGGAAATAATACTTGTTTATGGCATCCGTGACTGTAGAATTAAGACTTGATTGAGCAGGTACAATACCATTGTGGCTTATTCTGTGGAGGTGTAAGGAAAATCTTTTATTCCCCTTGTTGGCTTGTTTTTTGTTTTTGTTTTTTTTTTTAATCAAGTACTGTTTTTTTGGTAGTAAAGTCTCTCTCTCTCTCTCTCTCTCTCTGTCTCTCTGTCTCTCTGTCTCTCTGAGACAGGGTTTCTCTATATAACAGCCCTGGCTGTCCTGGAATCTGATACTTAGACCAGGTTGGCCTAACTCATAGAGATACACTCGCCTCTGGGATTAAAGGTATGCACCATCACACCAGCTTGTGGTAGTAAAATTTGTAAAGGGAATAATACATAACCATCCTACCCAGGGCTTCAAAAATAACTACCTCAGGGTATATAGCCACCAGAGGATAGAAACAAAAACATTTTGTTTTTCCTTATATAGATAGCCAGTGTTTTGAAAGATGAATTTTTTTTTTCTTTTCATTTCATCACATCATGTCAGTCATAGTTTGGTCTGTTTTAAAGCTAGAATCAAGATTGGGTATGGTGGCATACACTGCTAATCTTCTCCAGAGAACTGAGATAGCAGACAGCTTGAGTTGTCTCAAAAAAAAAAAAAAAAAAAAAAAAAAAAAAAAAGAAGGAAACAGAAAGAGGAAGTAGAAGGAAAAAGAAAAGAGGATGAAGGTAAGGGACTAGAGCTGTATCTCAGTGTTTAGTTAGCATATGTGAAGCCTGGGCTTCATTCCTAGTACCCTATAAACACTGGGTGAGGTGGAAAACACTAGTATTACAACACTGGGGAGGTAGAGGCAGAAGGATCAGAGCTCAAGGTATCCTTAGCTACATAGGCAGTATGAGACCACTTGGGCTATATGAGACCCTGTCTTAAAAACCTAAAATAATAATAATAATAATAAAGAATTTTCCTGACAAGACCATTTGGCAGGTAAGGATGCTTGCTGCTGTTTGTTGGCCTAATCTTTATCCTAGGGATCCACATGGTAGAAAGAGAGAACAGACTCTGAAAAGTTGCCCTGTGATCTCTTCTTGTACACCATTCGTAAGTAAATAGATTTAATAAAATTAAAAATGAATAAGAAGAACTAGGTGTATTATAATTACACAGCCCTCTTCCCTATACCCTATCTGCTGATTTTAATATTTCTTCCTTTTGTTGCTAAGTATTGAAACTCAGGCCTTCTTTCTATAAGCGGAGCATGTGCTTTAATGTTCTAAGCTATTTAAATCTTAGGCCCAACTGAATTTCTCTTTTTTACTTAAGAAACAAAATAAAACAGGATCTCATAATGTTGCCTAGGCCTGCCTCAAATTTACAACCCTCTTACCATAGCTTCCCCAGTAGGTTTGGTTATAGGTGTTCACCACCATGAGTGTGATGTGTGCCAATGCAAAGGCTAGAGAAGGCTATCCAGTGTTGTGCTCCAGCACTCTCTGACTTACGCCTTTGAACCTGGAGCTGGACTGGGGACCAGCAAACTCCAGTGATCCTCTTGGCTTTTTACATAGATGCTGGCATCTGAACTCAGGTTCTCATATCTGAGCAGCAATTGAGCTGTTAGTCACTAACTATGAGAGATAGTTATTTCCATTTTATAGATAAGGAAACAGGTTCAGAAATTATATAATTTGGTCACGGTCACATAGTGGTGTAAGCTTTGAGCTAGTGTACTTGTATGAGTAGTTGGAAGCCAGCAGTTTGACTGCAGCCTCTCTTCTTAGCTATTGTATCACCATTATAGATTATGAAAGCTTTAGGAAGATTCATTTTGTAGCAGCCAGTAGGAATACACACCTATTATTCCAGGAATCAGGAGGCAGAGGTAGGGGCATCTCTGTGAGTTCAAGGCCAACTTGGTGTATGGTATACATATCAAGAATTCAAGGACAGCCATAGTTACATAGTGAGAGCCTGCCTCAAAAAATAAAATAAAATAAAAATAAATAAGAAATATGGCCAGGAAGAGGTCTGAGTGGTTAAAAGCCTTGCTGCCAAGCCTTATGACATAAGTTTGATCCCCTGGATCCACAGACAGGAAGAAGGGATTCCTGTAAATTGTTCTCTGACCTAAAAGTGAATGCTGGTACATGCGTACCTATGCATATATGCAATCACAGATACACACAAATTTAAAAAATATAAAGAGAAACCTTCCAATTCATTATCTTTGTTTAGTAATTAGTGAGTAACTTATACCATTCTTACCAGGTGGTAATATGCTAGCATTCCCATCACTGAGAAGGCAGAGGCTGAGGGATTTTAAGTTTGAGGCCAGTCAGTGTTCAGTGGGACTTTGTCTCAAACAAAACAAAGCAACCTCAGCGTCTGAGAAAAAAAACAAAACACAACAATAAACAAAACCCCTTCCCCTCCTAAATCTGAAAAGAATTTAGAAAAAAAAATCCCCATAATGTTTTATTTAGGTCAAATAAAAAAGCCAGGTAATTTTGAGTTCACAAATAGCATTCCTTTAATTTAACTATATTTTTATCACTTCTAAACTATTTGTTTATTGAGTTTTGTCTATTGTCCCAGGCAAACCCACATTATTTTGATGGAAACACAGTGGTTTTCCTTAACAGCTCTGTGGATTCTGCTTTCTTGTAGTTTGGAGCAGAGAGGCTAACACGCTGGTAACAAGCCTAAGCATTTGCTTTAACTCATTAGTGCTAATGCAATTAAATCAAAACAATGAAACTGAGAGTTTGCCTGAGATATTTCCTACCATCCCAATCAACACAGTCCTGTTTCTGGGGTTTCTCTCTCCTTCCTTCCTGGCTTCCATTGGGAAATGCTTTGGGGGGGAAAAAAGCAAGAAACCAAACAACAGCAGGCAAATAAAGTAAGCTCTTTTCTGTTTTCCCATCCTGATAGGTAGGGAAAGGGAGCAAGACCCTCATCGAAGAGAACTGAGGCTTAGGCGGGCCGTTCTAAAAAGCTTTGTTATTTAGCACCTCCCACCTCCCCCTGAGCTCTGCAGTAATTCCTCGGAGATTGTATAGTCTCCGCTTTAAATATAAATATATATATGTTATATATATATATATAAAACTTCCTCGTCTTTCTCTCCTTTTTTTTTTTAATTTCCTATAATAAAGTTTCCTATTGGATAAGGTCAGCTCCCTGATTTATGCCTGGCTCCTATTGGAAGCTCGCAGGGGCTGACATCACTTAGGAAAGCTAGGGTAGGGCTGCCAGATCGGTTTGTCACCACCCAGGCTCCTTTGCCTTTGGCTGGGTGCAACTTCCATTTTAGGTGTTGGTTCTGAGGGGAAAAAGAGGAGAGAGAGAGAGAGTGAAAGAGAGAG